GGAACGAGCCATACTCACACAACGAGCAGGTTTTGTGCATTAGTAAAGCTACTCAAATTGTCAAAAGCCTCGGCTCCACCAAATTATCCCTCCCCAAGCAAGGGTGCAAAGTCCTGATTCATGCATCATGCCGGGCAGGATTGACAGGTTAAGCTATCCGATTTGCAGTCATACCTGCCCGCCGCTTGGAAAATGCATGTGCTGCCCCACAGTGCAAAAGCCACTATTGGCGTCTCAGCTTCATGGCTGCAACTCTGTCAGGCACAATACTGGGAGGTCATTGCCGAATGGCAGAAAAACAGCCTCCTGTTAATCTCAAAGCCTGACATGGGCAAATTGCCACCAATTCAATGCGCTAACCTTGCGCACGTTTGTCCTAGACTTGTTGCTGGTGAATTGCCGAATGCCTCTCCCATTGCTTGAGCCATGAACCATGCCTATCAAATATTTGCACCCAGCAAAGCCTGCCATGAGCCCTTCAAAGCACAAAGCCCACAGCCACTGCTCGGAAACCATCAGCAACTCTCGTCCAAATCACCCACCAACTGCAAGGCACAGTGCGCCGGCATTTGTTGCACCCAGCATCACCAAAGGCATCCTCTGACAGAGTTGGGGACATCACCAAGCTTGCAAACCTAGCACTCCCAGCGCCCAGTTTGCGATCTATGGCGCAACCCCCTCTCTTAATTTGGGAGGGTCAGCGGGGCATGACAAGCATTAGGCCAACTTTAGGCTCTCAAAAATCCATTTGCATGTGTCCACCTGCCGACTGAATCACAATCAAAACTGCATTGCGAGCCCCTGCCCCCTTGCTGGCAGAAGCAACGAATCGAGAACCCCGCACCCTTTTATGGCCGTTCGTCAATTTTCCCGGGAGGCGCTGAGGCCCAAACCTGCCGACGGCTTGAAATCCCAACAGTCGAAAGGATCGAAGGTGAGGCGCCTCTGAGGAACTCTTCCAGCTTCTGAGCTTTCTCCACACTGAAGGTTTCCATGCCGCAGAACCTTTTCCTCACTTCCTCACTTGCAACCGGGGGCTCCGAAAACACAGAAGCAAACCGCATGAACAGTGACCCAGAGCCAAGGTGCTCACAGACGGTCTCTGCTGCGTGAAAGCTCCCTACCTTGCGCCATCCTGCCCAGCAAGTGCAACCAAGCCACCTCTGGTTGGAAAGCTTGCCATCTTTTCCTGGCTTGGCCGCTCGACTGGGAACATGGTTGGCCCGCTTGTGCAGCCAAACAGAACTCGGCTCTTCAGTTCTCTGTTCTGCTGCTTGTTCTTGCTCATTTTGAAATTGGGTTCTGCTCATTTTTCTGAGCCGGTCAAAAGTGCCGGGCGCATTTGGTGGCTGCCACACTGCGTAGAAGCTCGCGTCCCAATGCTTCACTTGTTTCTCTCAGAGCAAGGCGGCGACCAAACACCAAGTCATGAAGGCAAAGCGGCTTGGAGTAGCTGCTGCCGGCTTTTGGTTTTGACAATGTAGCCTTCCGGTAGGGTTGACTCGTCAGTGCTCCATGGGTTGGCGAGGTGTTGTCTTCGCATCTGCTCTGCTTATGCACGCAGGCTTCACTAGCTCGGTGGGGTATCTTCTGAAGCCGTCTGGGAACAGGTTTAGTGGCCTGAGTGCTCCATCACCCTTTGCCCTTTGCACTGTTGGCTTTGCGTCGTTTATACTCAGCTGCTGGCATCGTGCCCGGGCGTCAAGAACGGAGTCATGGTGGAGATGCAGGTGCGTGCATTTGATTGCGCCCTTCATCGGCCATTGCTGAGGGATGCTTCGTTTCCTGTCTCTGCGCCTCACGTTGTAGTTCATGTGGGCGTGCTCTGCTGTGCTGCCTTTGCGCCATCTTCCTCTCCCCCTCCCATTCTTGCCAAGACACCGGTTGAGGTTGAACCACTTCTGCTGGAACTCTAGCCTGGGGCTTTTCCGGCGCTGAATGCTTTTCGTAGATGCAAGCAGCACGTGCAAATACATACACACCCTCTATAAGCTCAAGCTTGCAATGTGCAGTAAGGGCTTGACACCTTTCCCGAAATGGGCGTAAGTGAGCCAAACAAAGGCATTCAAAGCTCTCTCTCTCTCTCGCTCCCTCTCTCTCTCTCTCTCTCTCTCTCTCTCTCCAGCATCCTCGAGCAGGTCTCGCTCATCCCACACTAGAAATTGGGGGCCGCCAACACAGGCAGCATATTCAAGCAACTGTCTTACCTGACCCTTCAACCTAGCTACCCATGCCGGCGGAGCCTGAGAAACTTCGCAGCAAAAATGGATCAAAACAAATCGGGATCCTCATATCTACAGTTTCTTGTTTTCTGGACTCCAGTGGCTGAGTTGGCCCGAGCTTCCGTGACACTGATGTTGACCCCATATCAATCAACCCCAGCTTACTAGTAGGGGGCTGTTGCCCTCCAACAGTGATGATTCCCCACTAAAATCAGGGACACCTCTTCATATTATAAACTGGAGTTCATTTATATGGGGGCAATACTATGCCCAAATGAGTCACCATCAAAACCTGTTACAAAAATGGTGAGCCCAGAACCACGTAAAGAAGTAGAGCGGCGGCCGCAACTATTTCCGGCTGGGACTGCCCCTTACTAACCTTCATCTACCCGGGTTTTGATTGTGGCTGAACTGTTCTGCCATTAGTGGCACGAACATGGAAGGCAATACTAATAATTGACACTGGATGACTTCAAAATAGACACGTTCTAGTCAAAGTCAATAGGGGCCCGCAGACTGGCTTCATTATTTTACCATGGTCAAAGTCACCCCCTTTCTGGTTATCAGAGTCAGAAAATGGGGTCATTTCCCTTCAACCCACCACCTAGGCTAGGTGGTGGGTTGAAGGGAAATGACCACATTTTCTGACTCTGATAACCAGAAACCGTCAAAATCATGACCCCCGGCAGATGGCTCGTGCGATTCGTAGCATCCAACATTTCTTCGCTGAGGCCAAAGGCTCGTCTTTCATCTCCTGCAGCGCCTTTGCGCCGGACGCCAGCGGCGCGGGCCGCTTCCGCGGCGGGGCCCGCTGCGCCTCGCACGCACAGCCCGAAACGGTTTCGGCTTCGCCCGGTGGAACGGGCAGAAACCGGAGCCCACCTGCTTTTCCAGCAACTCAGCCATCATGGCTTTCCTGGCCACGAAAAACAGGAAGCCTTTTTTTTGTCCGAGGACCTCGCATCAGCTTTTGCTGACCAACCAGGCATGACAAGACGCCACTAGAAAGGTCGAAGCCGGCACTGTAAGGAAAGAGCTCACCAACGGCGTCATGTGCCACACATCGCAGATGTTGTCAACTCCCGTGTTGCGGACACCAGTTGAAGATAGCTTGGCGCACAAATCAGATAAAAACAAGAATGAGTGCATGCACGGGCGTGTGGCGGGGGAATAGAAATCCTGAAAAAGAGCAACCCTCTGCGTCTGTCGATGGCTGAAACCTACCTTGCTCACGGCGGGTCTCGGGTCTCGGTGCGCAACGGATGCGGAACCGTCGCGGAAATGGGACCATTGGCACGGACGCCCGCAGCCTTGACCTTGCACGATAGTTGAGGCACTTCAGCAGCCTGAGGTACAGATTGCGTGGTCAGATTTTGTGACAGGCGAAAGAACTTTGGCAGCCTGAGGTGTAGCTGGCTCAGGTGCACAGTGTGTGACAGGCGCAGCACTTTGGCAATGCTGGCACGGACACGCCGCAACTCCCATCGGGACGTGCGAACTGCCAGCACTGTTGCAAGGTCAGGCACAGATTCCGTGAGGCGCAATTCTTTCGCAAGAGCTGGTACAGATTTCGCGGCAGACGCAGCACGCTCGGGGTTGGAGATAGATAGATAGATGACATGGACAGATGGATAGGTAGGTTAGATTGGATTGGATTAGATTAGATTAGATTTAGATTTAGATTTAGATAGATAGATAGATGGATAGAGAGATAGAGAGATAGAGAGATAGAGAGATAGAGAGATAGGATAGAGAGATAGATAGATAAATAGATAGATAGAAAGATAGATAAACTGGACAGAGAAATAAATCGATGGATATATAGAAAAATGGATGGACAAATAGACCGAAACATAGATACAAAGGAAGAGAAAGAGACAAAGGAAACATAAGATAAAGCAGACGAGAAAGCCAAAGAGAAGGATAAACATACGGAGAAAAGGAAAGACAGAGGCGAAAGAGAAAGAGAAAGCCCAAGAGAGAGAGAGAGAGAGAGAGAGAGAGAGAGAGAGAGAGCACAAGAAAAGGATAAAGAGAACAGTACAGTTGTTTTTTCTGTGAAACTTCCGCCTACCACCTTCTCTGACGATGCTGGTATGGTGAAGCACAAGAGTTGTGCCTTTCTGGGGACTTTTAGCCACTTCCACGGACAGGCAGCGCCTCTTCTTGTCGGGTGCTTGTCCAACTCCTTTCGCTGCTTCTGCTGCAATTGGCCTGTGCGTCAAGGCCAGGAATCGCAATTCAAATCAAGCGAAAGGCGCTCAAGCATCCTCGCCCTTTCTTGCAAAACTCCTACACGCCGTTGCCGACATCAGTCCTCTGCGCTGCTTTGGCATCAGCCGCTTTCCTGAGACTCCGAAACTGCGGCCGGGCTCATTTCTTTCCATGCAACAGGACACTCACCCCTGCGTTCTTGGCCACGCTTTGCCGGTCTTGTCCGTGCTTTGAGATTGGGTTGGGGGTTTGGAAGCCTCCCACAAACCAACAGGCAAAAGCTGGCAAAAGCACCATTGTGGCAATGGAGAGCATGTCCATTGTAAACTGATTTGAGCTAAGCAGCGGAACGCCTCCTGAAGAAAACTTCTGGCTGCGCAACGCCTTCTTCTCCTAACATCACCCAGTCTTCACTCTTGAGACGCTTTTTACCATTCCACGGTCCATGTCCCTCTCCTCCTCTGTCAAGCCGGCCATCGGACTGGATAAAGTGATAGCGCCCTTCGCAAGGGAAGCTTGAGCGAACAAAGCATAGCTTGTGCCTGGAAAGCCTGTGCTGCCATAGCTGCATCGTGTCAACTCCTGGCCTCCCCCTCGGTTTTGCCTCAGTCACGCATGCTTCCCTCCAAAACAAAAAAGGCTGCCCTGCGAGACTCTGAAGACTTTGCCGATTGAAGCTCAGGAGGGAACAGTTCTGCAAACATTGAATCACAGGGCACGTGGGCACCAGTTTCCATGTTCAATAAACGTCTTTCCACCAAGCGCCCAGCCTGGGGCTGCTTTTCCCGGTGCAGCGGGAGCTGCTGTGGGCAGCTTGGGCGCTGGCACCTCGCAAAGTTGCATGCTGATTTCTGCAGACGTCTTCCGGAAGCGCGGGTCGGGGGGCGGGGGCTTTCTCTGAAACATGGTGAGCGCGGGCTCCTAAGACCGTGCCCCACATACGTATTCTTGCACGTTGCAACCGATGACATGCGCATGCCGCGCTTGCCTGCGGCTTTGCGACGGCTGCTTGCTTCACAACGCCCGAAGGTGCCTGCGCACCAACACAGCCCCTTATCTCAAATGCCAGCTGCAGGCAGGCTGTTTTTCGTTGACAGAAAACTTCCACAAGCACTACAGGTGCTAACAAAGAAGACACAGGAGACCCTTTTGTCAAGCCGAATGCCACACTTTCTGTGCTTCCTGTCTGCCTGCGCCAAACCAGCTGTCGGGCTGGCAGTGGCAGACACAGAGCCCTTCGCAATGGAAGCAAGCAGGGCATGCGCTGCCATAGCTGCATTGTGTCATCATTGTGTCAACTGCTGGCCTCCCCCTCGCTTTTGCCTCAGTCACGCATGCTTCCCGCTTGTTCGTGCCAAATGGGGCAACACGCGACGATGTGAGACAAACGGAAGGCTGCCGTGCAAGACTCACAAGACTTTGCCAATTTCAAACATTGAATAACATGGGCACCAGTTTCCATGTTCAATAAACGTCTTCCCCCAAGCGCCCAGCCTGGGGCTGCTTTTCCCGGTGCAGCGGGAGCTGCTGTGGGCAGCTTGGGCGCTGGCACCTCGCAAAGTTGCATGCTAATTTCTGCAGACGTCTTCCGGAAGCCCGGGTCGGGGGGCGGGGCTTTCTCTGAAACATGGTGAGCGCGGGCTCCCAAGACCGTGCCCCACATACGTATTCTTGCACGTTGCAACCGATGACATGCGCATGCCGCGCTTGCCTGCGGCTTTGCGACGGCTGCTTGCTTCACAACGCCCGAAGGTGCCTGCGCACCAACACAGCCCCTTATCTCAAATGCCAGCTGCAGGCAGGCTGTTTTTCGTTGACAGAAAACTTCCACAAGCACTACAGGTGCTAACAAAGAAGACACAGGAGACCCTTTTGTCAAGCCGAATGCCACACTTTCTGTGCTTCCTGTCTGCCTGCGCCAAACCAGCTGTCGGGCTGGCAGTGGCAGACACAGAGCCCTTCGCAATGGAAGCAAGCAGGGCATGCGCTGCCATAGCTGCATTGTGTCATCATTGTGTCAACTGCTGGCCTCCCCCTCGCTTTTGCCTCAGTCACGCATGCTTCCCGCTTGTTCGTGCCAAATGGGGCAACACGCGACGATGTGAGACAAACGGAAGGCTGCCGTGCAAGACTCACAAGACTTTGCCGATTTCAAACATTGAATAACATGGGCACCAGTTTCCATGTTCAATAAACGTCTTCCCCCACCAGCCTGGGGCTGCTTTTCCCGGTGCAGCGGGAGCTGCTGTGGGCAGCTTGGGCGCTGGCACCTCGCAAAGTTGCATGCTGATTTCTGCAGACGTCTTCCGGAAGCGCGGGTCGGGGGGCGGGGGCTTTCTCTGAAACATGGTGAGCGCGGGCTCCTAAGACCGTGCCCCACATACGTATTCTTGCACGTTGCAACCGATGACATGCGCATGCCGCGCTTGCCTGCGGCTTTGCGACGGCTGCTTGCTTCACAACGCCCGAAGGTGCCTGCGCACCAACACAGCCCCTTAACTCAAATGCCAGCTGCAGGCAGGCTGTTTCTCGTTGACAGAAAGCTTCCACAAGCACTACAGGTGCTAACAAAGAAGACACAGGAGACCCTTTTGTCAAGCCGAATGCCACACTTTCTGTGCTTCCTGTCTGCCTGCGCCAAACCAGCTGTCGGGCTGGCAGTGGCAGACGCAGAGCCCTTCGCAATGGAAGCAAGCAGGGCATGCGCTGCCATAGCTGCATTGTGTCATCATTGTGTCAACTGCTGGCCTCCCCCTCGGTTTTGCCTCAGTCACGCATGCTTCCCGCTTGTTCGTGCCAAATGGGGCAACACGCGGCGATGTGAGACAAACGGAAGGCTGCCGTGCAACACTCACAAGACTTTGCCAATTTCAAACATTGAATAACATGGGCACCAGTTTCCATGTTCAATAAACGTCTTCCCCCACCAGCCTGGGGCTGCTTTTCCCGGTGCAGTGGGAGCTGCTGTGGGCAGCTTGGGCGCTGGCACCTCGCAAAGTTCCATGCTAATTTCTGCAGACGTCTTCCGGAAGCGCGGGTCGGGGGGCAGGGGCTTTGTCTGAAACATGGTGAGCGTGGGCTCCCAAGACCGTGCCCCACATACGTATTCTTGCACTTTGCAACCGATGACATGCGCATGCCGCGCTTGCCTGCGGCCTTGCGACGGCTGCTTGCTTCACAACGCCCGGAGGTGCCTGCGCACCAACACAGCCCCTTAACTCAAATGCCAGCTGCAGGCAGGCTGTTTCTCGTTGACAGAAAGCTTCCACAAGCACTACAGGTGCTAACAAAGAAGACACAGGAGACCCTTTTGTCAAGCCGAATGCCACACTTTCTGTGCTTCCTGTCTGCCTGCGCCAAACCAGCTGTCGGGCTGGCAGTGGCAGACGCAGAGCCCTTCGCAATGGAAGCAAGCAGGGCATGCGCTGCCATAGCTGCATTGTGTCATCATTGTGTCAACTGCTGGCCTCCCCCTCGGTTTTGCCTCAGTCACGCATGCTTCCCGCTAAAGCGGAAGGCTGCCGTGCGAGACTCGCAAACAATTGTTCCTTGGAAGTTCTGTAAAAAACGTGTCTGTCCCCCAGCGCCCAGCCTGGGGCTGCTTTTCCCGGTGCAGCGGGGGCTGCTGTGGGCAGCTTGGGCGCTGGCACCTCGCAAAGTTCCATGCTAATTAACTTATGCAGATGTGTTGATCTGCATGTTTAATAGGAAAAAACGTCAGCAGCTGAACAAAACGACTGCGAAGGCAAATCTGCGCTGCATCCGGCTGTGGACATGTTCCTGTTGCGCAAGCTTGGCGGCTTGTTTCTGCGACCTCATCTTTCCGGTGATTTGTGCTTGCTGGTGGTAGAGACTGGACACACCCGAGCTGGGGCAACCCCGGAAGTGCCAATATGTGAAAATGCTGTGCACAGGCCACCACCCACCCACAGCAGCGCAACTTTTTCGAGTGCTGGTGGCACCTGTGCAAGTGCAGAGGGCGAAGGATGGGGGAGGCCCCTTCCAGCCACCCCACATCCTTTCCCTCAAGAAATTACATTGGCCTTGGCCGCCCTTCCACTCCTCAATGGTAGTGGGTGGGTGGGGAAACTCGCAAAGGTGGTGGGCATGGGCTTGAGCCAAAATGGCACGTACCCAGCCCACCACCATTCAGTGCATGGCATGTCATGCGCACATGCCGCTTCGGGGCTTCGCTTATTTGCTGTACGACATATGCACAGGCCACCACCCACCCACAGACAAGCGCAACTTTTTCGAGTGCTGGTGGCACCTGTGCAAGTGCAGAGGGCGAAGGATGGGGGAGGCCCCTTCCAGCCACCCCACATCCTTTCCCTCAAGAAACCTTACATTGGCCTTGGCCGCCCTTCCACTCCTCACCTGCTCCGCGCGGCCTTCGTGCTGTTGCTGAGGTGCCTGCACTTGATGCAATCCGCCTCCGCGCTAGCACTTGCCTCAAACACAAAACTGGACCGTCCGTAGTACCAGCCGCACAGCGTGCGCCATGTGGCCGGTGGTGTGCAGGCTGCCCAGCTGGCGTTGCAGTGCACTACAGCACTGTGGACACTCTTCACCAGCTTCGGGAGGTTGCCCTGCCCTTACGAGCTTGCCAAGCTGCTACTTCTTTGTCCAGCCTGGCTTTGGTGGCCACCGAGTCCAACTTCAAGGCTTCGATCTCCACAACCAGGTTGGTCCTGACCTCCTCCGCCGCCGAGCCTTGAGGTTGGGATTGTGTGGCAGCGAATTGGCCTCGGTTGACCGGGATGGACTCCAAGGCCTCCTCAGCGTAGGAGTAGATGACATCTGACTTCCACCTACCTAGGTAGGCCACCTGTGCGATGGTCCATCCTTGTCGGATGTAGTTGAGAGCCCCCGTCCGCCTAGCCGAATGACCTGAAACCTTCATTCCGAAGAGCTTGCTCCAAGAAGCTACTACCTGCGACTTGGTTGGGCAGGTGCCTCCCACCGTGAGGCAGAGGGGGGCCTCCAGGTCCACAACTCCCTTCGCCGGGGACAGCGCTTTCGCGCTCGCCAAGGGACAGGCCCTGAAGGACCCGTTTCACCCCTCTCCCCTCCTGGTCCTTCTTGCTCTCGTTGAGGTTGAGGATCACTCGCTTCTCTTGCTCGTTGATCAACAAGTCACCCTGTTTCAGCGAGGCTACCTCGACCTCCCGCAACATCCACATCATGCCGAGGAGGAACACCTCCTTGGGTAGGGCCAGCAGGGTCTTCGCTCTCCCCTTCTTGGTGATTCTGGCCTCAAGGATCCTGGCCACAGGAACTTCTGGAGCCTTCTTTCTGGGCCCCAAACCTCTGGTGACGGCGAGAAGACACTGCTTCATGGTGCGTGCGTGGAGATCTCCACTGGGCTCCGCTCTCTATGTGCACCAGCTTGGCCTCCGCGAGGTACATGTGGGCCGACTTGTACCCTCCTGTCTTGAGGCTGGCTGCCAGGCACTTGATGGCCTCCGGAGTGACCTTCATGGTGCCGAAGCCCGCATTCTCGAAAACCTTCTTGATTGTGTGCCTCCTGGATGCCTTGGCCTTGTGGGAGGAGTTGGCGCAGAAGTCCTTCTCCAGCCTGTTCACTGCCATCTTCCTCCTCCATGGGTCTTTGGCGGTGATGAGGGCCGAGCGCCTTGACTTTGCTGTACCTCACCGGGAGGTCGGCTCTCTTGTCTGCACTCAGATCTCTGCCAGGCAGCCGGTAACTCTCCGCTTTCTCCCCGCCCATGTCCACCACCGCCTTGCGCTTATTGGGGCTCCATTGGGCACGGAGCCAATCGATGGCTGGCTTGATGAGCAGGCCTTTCGCAAAGTTGCCACTGGAGCCGTTCATAATCTCCTTGAGCCCCGGGGACCTTGAAGTGCCGGAGGAGCCGCCCTTCGTGCCCATGAACTTGCTGTCGCCGATTGCCTTCGTGCTCTCCGAGGCTTCCTTGAAGATGTGGGTCTGCTCCGGGCAGAGGCCGACTGCTTCAAAATCGCTCCCCACTCCCTCCGACTCATGGTCGGTGCATGGCGGAGCCGCGAGGTGGGAGAGAGCCCGTAGTGCCCCATCATGGCCTGCGCCGGCTCTGTCACCTCCTCCTGGGTCTCGACGATGTGGGCCCGGTTTCCGCAGCCCCAGCAGGCCCGGCAGGTGCACAGGATGATCCTGAGCACCCACATCAGCCCGATGAAAGAGAACGCCAAGAGGAGGTGCAACCATGGGGCCTCCCCTGAACAGGTCAGGGTCTACGGGCACAAGCGAGGCCATGCTGTGAGCCTCGTGCTGCAAAATTCAAGCCCAATTTCTTCCCTTCCCTTGATGTCCTCCTTACCGACCTTCAACCTTACCTGGCAGCCCTTCAAGCCGACCCGAACCCACGCCCCCCAAAACAGCCCCTTAAAAGGTCCCGGCAAACGAGGGAAAAAGGGGGGAGTTGGGGGGGGGACCGCCCTTACCTTGAGCTGCCAGCTCCTTTTTGGCACCTTCCCTCGAACGGTGCGGTCCACGCCGGCAGCAGGCCCCCTTGGGCTTGCCGCCAGGCGCGCCCTCCTTCCTTACTCCTTACTCCTCACTCCTTACTCCCTCACTCCTCACTAGGGCCCTGCTCCCGCTCCTCCCTCGGGACGGGGATCGCCCACAACTCCTTACTGAGCCCGGGAGGGGGGAGAGTGAAGTAACTCTCATCCCTCCCTGCCACCGGGATGACCTTCACTCCATGCAGATGCTCGGGCATGGAGCGATCCTTCCACTTCACTCCTGGAATGTGGCAGGGCACAATGCGGTCGATGGTCAGCTTTTCCAGCGTGAGGGCCAGCTCCGCACCCAAGAAGTTGAGCGAAGGCGAGGAGTGTGCCAGGCGCTGGCTGAGGGCCAGAGCAGTAGTGCTGTCCGACTGCACCCGCAACACCAAGCCGTAGTCGCTCAACTTGTCTGCCCACGTCCTGATTGCAACAAGGACGGCCAAGGCTTCCAGGATGCCCTGCGAGGAGGAGCTCCCCAGCTCGAACCTCAGCATCTTTGCGTCCTGCTCCCCGACGGGCCCTGCCAGGGCGCTGATCGCCACATTGTTGATGAAGATGACAGCCCCGATGCCTTCGCGGGACGCGTCCGTGGCGATGGTGATCTCCGCCAAAGGGGGGCCCCCCCACCTTGAGGAGCCTGGTCGGGTGCTTCACGACGCAGTTGAGGAACTCCACCAGCCAAACCCTGGCCTGCTCTAGCCGCTTGACCGGGAACAGGCCATCCTTGCTGCGGGGGTCGGCTCGGGTAGCTCGCCTAACTCCCTCCGCCCCAGTAGCTATTCCCTCGTCCACGCTGTACATCACGGCGTAGAAGATGGCCACTGTCCACTTGGCTCTCGGGAGCACGCCCGCCAGCCATGATGCCTTGCCCGCCACGGTGCGAAGCTCCTTGACGGGGGCCATGCCTCGCCCTTTCCAGCTCGTCAGTAGGGCCAGAAGTTCTTCCATGAACTTCACGGGGAGCGTCAGGACCAAGGTGTCGCGATCCACCAGGGCGAACCTCACACCCACCCAGGTCACTGCGTTGGCTCGCTCCCCCTTGCCCAGAGCGATCTTCAGTCCCAGCGCCAACATCGTGGTGAGGACAAACGCGAGCAGGTAGTTCCTTCGTCTCAACGTCCCCGCAAAGCACCACAGCGAGTCGTCCAGGTAGACCTGGTGGGCGCCCTCCTTGGCGTCCACGACGCTCTGCAGTAGCCTAGCAATGAGGGCTGCCACTCTGCTCCAAAGCAATGGGGCCGTTTTGAAGCCGAAGAGGAGAGCCAAGAACAAGATGTACTCCCCCTCCACGGTGCTTGGGGCCAAGCCGTGGCCAAGCTCATCCTCATGCACCGGCAGCGTCATGAAAGCATCGGAGATGTCGATGAGCACAAACTCCATGGCCCACCCCGGGTCCCTGGTCGCACCGCTTGTCTCCTGGGCCGCGCGGATCTCCCGAACCATACGTACTGCGTCATCAGGGCGAGGAAGTACAAACTTCTCCGAGGCGGGCCTTGGCATTGCCTCGCGACCTCCTCAGATCGATCACCACTTGTCTCTTCACTTCCAGGTTCTCCTTGACCTTCAGGATCAGCGCCAGCCGTGAGATGGTGCCGTTGGGGAACTTCTCCAAGAGTTCCTGCCGCGAAAGGCGCTTCATGTAGCCTTTCTCCTCACATCTACGGAGTTCAATCTCCGCCTCCCCTTTGTTGCTCTCGACCGACTCGTAGTTGGTCATGTCGCCCCTGTGGAGCTGTGCTGCGGCGTCCGGGAGGCCCTGTTCTTGCGGTCCCTCGTCGGACATGGGAAAGATGCGACAGGTCTTGATTTCCTTCTCGATACCCAGCGGGGCGCCTTCCTCCAACCAGACTTGAGCCTCTGTCTCCGGGTCGCCCCCCTTCTCGCTCCACGCCTTGATGAGGGGACGTTCGCCGGGGTAACGTAGACGCCCTGGGGTATGAGCTTCACCGCTGGCCCGGGTTTGGTGCCCACCAGCTAGTTCAACCTCTCCTTCCACTTCTCCACAAACTTCGGATTGGGGGAGCTGCCCTTCGTCCCGTAGCTCTCGGCGATCTCCATGGTCTCCGGGAACTGTCTCAAGAAAGCTTCCCAGGCGCCGGCAATCCTTAAACCTAAGCTGGCCAGTGAGGGTACCTTCGCTACCGCCTTGGCTGGGTCCCTCATGCCTCCGATGTGGTCGAGGCGTTCCACCTTGAGGTCCTTGGAGGGAGGCTCGAACATGCCGTATTTCCCCACGCTCCCTCTCCATACCCCGACATGTCCAGCCTCACCTTCACTACATTCACGGCGCCGTCCGGCTCCTCATTCTGAGGAGCACCCGCACCTTGAGCTTCCACTTGGGTCTCCTGCAGCTTCCGCATCTTGGCGATGTTATCCTTCACCTTGTTCATCCTGCGCTCGAGCACTTCCTCAGTGGCGATGCGGGTGAAATGCTTCACGGCAAGGGAAGCGTATTTCTGGCAAAGAAGGCTTGGGTACTCCGCGGAGGCGCTAGACTTAGCCTTGCCCACGATGGGGTCATGTCTCGCTGCACCGCATGCACACGTCCCTGACAGAAAGGTCAACCCTGGCAAGGTGCCCACAAACTGTTGGGGCTTAAAATGCTTCGCCCCCAAGGGCAGGTGTGGCTCGTAGACGCACGTGTTGAAGAGCGCCATCCTTGCCTGAATGGTGGCGCCGAAGTTCTTAACCTCTTCTAACTCCCAGGCTGACAAGTGACCTTCACAGGTAGAAGGCGGCGGGTTCTCCAGCGTGGCGGCAGGCTTCACCTTCGCGTGGGGTCGAGACTGTACGACCGCCAATGCGAGGTCAACGGATCTGGTTGCCAGGATCGTGCCCATGTCGCACTCCGCTTGTTGCCTGCTAGAGTTTGAAGGTCTCCCGTAAGGGTGGGCCTTGTCCCTGACGGGGGAGGGCATTCCTGGGCTCTCCCTAAATCTGAGGCGGGAGAAGGTCGTGCAAGGGAAACCTGCGTGGTACAGGTCCACGCAGCCCTTGGCCAGCTTGAGATGGTCAAGGTAAGGTCTGTCCTTACTGAGGTCACCGTCCAACGCGGCTCGACCGACACCCCCTTCCAAATGGGTATCCACTGAGACCACCGTCACCCTGACCCCTTGCTCCTTTGCCTCAGCCATCACCGCCTCCCCGAGCACGTCCTTAGCGCCCGAGAAGTGGTGGACGAAAACGAAGGTCCTGTGCTTGAGGTGCGCCTTCAAATCTTCCTCGACCTTCGCGTGGTGAGATTTCTCACCTTCTGAACCGCTATCCCGACCGGGGCAGTCTCCTTCCCATCCCTGTGGAGGGGCCTTCCGCTTCCTGGGGCCCTTGCTGCTCTCGCCAGGTTCATTGGCGGGGGCGTCCCCTTCCGAACCTCCTTCGTGCCCTCCAGCAGCGCGTCGATGGAGCCTCTGTGCCATGACCAGGATCAGGAACGCGTAGGAGGCCCTTCGTGACTAGGCTGCGGATGAGGGCCAAACCTTACTTCTTCGAGGGGCAATTCCGGGAAGGGTGACCTGGGGAGTTGCAAATGGTGCACTTGTGTTCGCGCTTGATTTGAGCCACACAAGCTCCGCCGGGCGGGACATCTGCACAAGGCCCATTCCCATTGTTCCACGCGAAGCACTTGGCATTCCCCTTCGATCCCTTGCCCCTCCCTTTGGAGGGAGAGTCCCCGCCCCGCGCCTGCTCTACCTGCCTTCCTGGGTCCTGCCTCGCCTCGCCTCTCCGTTTCTTCCTTGACCTCCCCCCTTCCCTTGCGGAGATGGTCCGTGATGAAGGGCCTCCACCTGACTGCTCCGCGTTCCGGGTGGAAGGGGGTCTTGCTGCTTGTTCTGCTGGGGAGACTGGTACTCCCCGACCTCCTTGGGCTAACCACGCAGTGGCCGGGGTGTAGACCTGGTCTGCCCAGTACCTGTCGTCGTCGATGAGCACCCTGAAGAGGGTCTGCCACGGATTGTCGTCGCTGTAGTGCTTGGGCTGATCCAAACCCAAGCTCCTGCCTACGGTGACCCTCAGTTTCAGACGGGTGAGGTGCTCTGACCTTGCTCTGTCGTCCGCTTGCACGATGAGGTGCCAGCAGCCCGGATAGAAGCGCACCATCTTCTCTACGTGAGTCTCGTAGGCATTGAGGTGCGCTAACGGGGTGATGTTCAGCATCACCATGGCCGTGCGGTACACCCGAAAACTGGCCTGCCACATCTCGAAATTGGTGGGTCCAGCCAGTTCCTTCGTCACGAAGCCCTCCAGCGTCGCTACATAGGACCTGAACCGAGCTGTCCGCAAAGCCTTCTTGCCGTAAGGAACCCACACCGAGAAGTTCGCATAAGGTGCTCCCTTGAGCGAAAAGACTCTTCGACTCAGGGCTGACAACTGTTCCATTGAAGGTTCCTCCTGCTCGGGGGGCAGACCTCCTGTTAGGGAGACGTACTGTGTGACCCATTTCGCCCTCGTCTCCTCCGGCTCGACCATGAATTCGGTCTCGTCCGCCTGATCTAAGACATGGGTCATCTTCATCTTCGGTTCCAGTTTCGATGTTCCTGTGATTCCCGAAGTTGTCCCTGTCGGAGTCAGCGCAGATTCCCAAGGGTTCGGGTCCTCCCACAAACTCCAACTGCCCCCGGCTCTTACATGACAGATCCTCCTCGCCAACCTGTAGACAAGCCCCACCTGCGAAGCCTGAATGGCCGTCATCGCGGCCCCCTGGATATCGGCCGTCTCGCAAGCCATGGCCAATGCAGCCGGTGGCACCGCTGCAAAAGGACGCAAGTCCTCCACCGGGTCGCCCAGCGTTGAAACCACCGCCGCCCAAACCTCCGGCGCAACGCGGTAGAAGGCCCGGAGATCCGAAAGACGGGTCATCGCCATAGCTTCGGCCTCGGCAGGGAAGACCATGAAGGAGCTCCAGGCTGAGCGCGAGGAGCACCAACAGCCACATGTCCGAAACTCGCAAAGGTGGTGGGCATGGGCTTGAGCCAAAATGGCACGTACCCAGCCCACCACCATTCAGTGCATGGCATGTCATGCGCAAATGCCGCTTCGGGGCTTCGCTTATTTGCTGTACAACAATGTGCCCTAACACCTTCCAAACAAAACGTTCTTGCGAGAAAACCACCTGGTTGCCAACTGCTCATGTTGGCCCGCGCGGCTTCTGTGTTGTTTCTGGTTGGGTGGGCAATCGCTTCTTGTACAGCACGGCACTGTGACGGCGTGGCACGAAATCCATCCCAAGTTTGGACCCGACATGCTGACTGCGACCCACATGCCACATGCCGCGCATGCCTGCGGCTGTACAGCGGCTGCCTGCTTAGCAGGCGCTGCCTGCTTAGCAGGCGCTGCCTGCGCAGCAAACGAGTAAATACCAGTGATTCACAAGAAATTGCCGTCCTAAGATTCCTATGAGCACCAGTGATTCATAACAGATGCTGGCTGCTCCAGCCTCCTGGGCAATGCCAGCGGTCGGGCTGGAAGTAGCAGGGCCCTTCGCAAGGAAAGCTTAAGAAAACAGGGCATAACTGTCGGCTGAACGCTTCAAAAACAAAAGCTTCGCGTGTCATCAATTCCTGGCCTCTGCCTCTGGCTTGCCTTGGTCATGCTTCCCGCTGTCAATGAAAGTTGATGTTGTTGAAAAGATAATGTTGCGTTGTGTCTGTGTGAAAGCATGGTGGAAAGTTGTCTGGGGACCTCCGCTCCGCCTGCGCCAAAATGCAAATGCAAATCTGGGAGAAAAAGCGAAAACCAGCTGCCATGTTGGGCCTAAGCGCCGAGCCTGGCAGTTTTTCTTGCACAGCAGGGGCCGCTGGGGCAGGCTTGGGGGGCGTTTGCGCCTCGCAAGATTCGCTAGCTGATGCAGCCGTTTTTCGGGAAACCCGGGCTGGGGGGCTTCTTTCCTGAGCCAAATTTGAGAAATTCCAAGTCTCGACCCAATTTGCTGACTGTCACAGGCATGCCTGCGGCTTTGCCGCGGCTGCCTCCTTAGCAGCAGCAGGCGCTGCCTGCACAGCAAACGAGTAAATACCAGTGATTCACAAGAAATTGCCGTCCTAAGATTCCTATGAGCACCAGTGATTCACAACAGATGCTGGCTGCTCCAGCCTCCTGGGCAATGCCAGCGGTCGGGCTGGACGTGGCAGGGCCCTTCGCAAGGAAAGCTTAAGAGAAGCGGGCATAACTGTCGGCTGGAACGCTTCAAAAACAAAAGCTCCGTGTGTCATCAATTCCTGGCCTTTGCCTCTGCTTTGCCTTGGTCACGCATATGCTTCCCGCTGCTTTTGGAGAAATGCAGCAACGGATGCCAAAGTATAAGTCAATGAAAGTTGATGTTGTTGAAAAGATAATGTTGCGTTGTGTCTGTGTGAAAGCATGGTGGAAAGTTGTCTGGGGACCTCCGCTCCGCCTGCGCCAATGCAAATGCAAATCTGGGAGAAAAAGCGAAAACCAGCTGCCATGTTGGGCCTAAGCGCCGAGCCTGGCAGGTTTTCTTGCACAGCAGGAGCCGCTGGGGCAGGCTTGGGGGGCGTTTGCGCCTCGCAAGATTCGCTAGCTGATGCAGCCGTTTTTCGGGAAACCCGGGCTGGGGGGCTTCTTTCCTGAGCCAAATTTGAGAAGTTCCAAGTCTCGACCCAATTTGCTGACTGTCACAGGCATGCCTGCGGCTTTGCCGCGGCTGCCTCCTTAGCAGCAGCAGGCGCTGCCTGCACAGCAAACGAGTAAATACCAGTGATTCACAAGAAATTGCCGTCTTAGTGATGCATAACAGATGCTGGATGCTCCAGCCTCCTGGGCAATGCCAGCCGTCGGGCTGGACGTGGCAGGGCCCTTCGCAAGGAAAGCTTAAGAGAACCGGGCATAACTGTCGGCTGGAACGCTTTAAAAACAAAAGCTCCGTGTGTCATCAATTCCTGGCCTCTGCCTCTGGTTTGCCTTGGTCACGCATATGCTTCCCGCTGCTTTTGGAGAAATGCAGCAACGGATGCCAAAGTATAAGTCAATGAAAGTTGATGTTTTTGAAAAAAAGTAATGTTGCGTTGTGTCTGTGTGAAAGCATGGTGGAAAGTTGTCTGGAGACCTCCGCTCCGCCTGCGCCAATGCAAATGCAAATCTGGGAGAAAAAGCGAAAACCAGCTGCCATGTTGGGCCTAAGCGCCGAGCCTGGCAGTTTTTCTTGCACAGCAGGGGCCGCTGGGGCAGGCTTGGGGGGCGTTTGCGCCTCGCAAGATTCGCTAGCTGATGCAGCCGTTTTTCGGGAAACCCGGGCTGGGGGGCTTCTTTCCTGAGCCAAATTTGAGAAGTTCCAAGTCTCGACCCAATTTGCTGACTGTCACAGGCATGCCTGCGGCTTTGCCGCGGCTGCCTCCTTAGCAGCAGCAGGCGCTGCCTGCACAGCAAACGAGTAAATACCAGTGATTCACAAGAAATTGCCGTCCTAAGATTCCTATGAGCACCAGTCATGCATAACAGATGCTGGATGCTCCAGTCTCCTGGGCAATGCCAGCCGTCGGGCTGGACGTGGCAGGGCCCTTCGCAAGGAAAGCTTAAGAGAAGCGGGCATAACTGTCGGCTGGAACGCTTCAAAAACAAAAGCTCCGTGTGTCATCAATTCCTGGCCTTTGCCTCTGCTTTGCCTTGGTCACGCATATGCTTCCCGCTGCTTTTGGAGAAATGCAGCAACGGATGCCAAAGTATAAGTCAATGAAAGTTGATGTTGTTGAAAAGATAATGTTGCGTTGTGTCTGTGTGAAAGCATGGTGGAAAGTTGTCTGGAGACCTCCGCTCCGCCTGCGCCGATGCAAATGCAAATCTGGGAGAAAAAGCGAAAACCAGCTGCCATGTTGGGCCTAAGCGCCGAGCCTGGCAGTTTTTCTTGCACAGCAGGGGCCGCTGGGGCAGGCTTGGGGGGCGTTTGCGCCTCGCAAGATTCGCTAGCTGATGCAGCCGTTTTTCGGGAAACCCGGGCTGGGGGGCTTCTTTCCTGAGCCAAATTTGAGAAATTCCAAGTCTCGACCCAATTTGCTGACTGTCACAGGCATGCCTGCGGCTTTGCCGCGGCTGCCTCCTTAGCGGCAGCAGGGGCTGCCTGCACAGCAAACGAGTAAATGCCATGATTCACAAGAAATTGCCGTCCTAAGATTCCTATGAGCACCAGTGATGCATAACAAATGCTGGATGCTCCAGCCTCCTGGGCAATGCCAGCTGTCGGGCTGGACGTGGCAGGGCCCTTCGCAAGGAAAGCTTAAGAGAACCGGGCATAACTGTCGGCTGGAACGCTTCAAAAACAAAAGCTCCGTGTGTCATCAATTCCTGGCCTCTGCCTCTGGTTTGCCTTGGTCACGCATATGCTTCCCGCTGCGGCATTCCAAGTAAGCAGCGAGATAGCTAGGCACTTCTGCGTTCGGTAAAAAGTAAGGAGAGCTCAAATGCTTCTTCTGTCATGTCATACAAGTTGCGCACGGCGCATTCCATAACAAGCGGCCCGTCTCTTCCTCTTGCTAGGCCAACGCATTGCACAAAGCAAGGCCTTGGCCCTCGCGGGCAGGAAGTTTGTGCATTCGCATGGGCCGCACGTGAAAAATGTCCTTCTATCACAATGCCTGTCAAAGAGCATCAAGCAAATAGCTTGTCGCAGGCAACTTCACCCTTCCGCATTTGCTCGAAGAAGCAAACAGACTTCATCATCCATGCCAACTTTAAAACGCAAACCATTGCATATTCCACGCGTAGCTTCCGCAGAGGGGCGCGCAGCATGTGCCCTGAAGTCTCAGCTAAATCGCTGACGCACACTTATTATGTTCATGTGTGATTTCAGCTGAATGCTGCCGCGCAAGCCGGCTAGCGCAATGAAATCCCTGAAGAGCACGCATCTTGGCACTAAGCACCAAGCCTGGCACTTTCTCTTGCGCAGCGGGAGCTGCAGGTCTGATGAGCCCAGGCGCCTGCCGCATCTTTGTGTTCCGTTTGGGTGCGGGGGGAGCGACTTGCCCAGCAACTTCCACCCCCGCACGCTATGTCGGGGAGCGAGTTCACATGCTCGGATATTAATATGCCGCATGCCGCACGCGCCTGCGGCTTTGCGGTGGCTGCTTGCTGCACAGCTGGAGGTGCCTGCGAAGCAAAGAGCTACCAGTGACTCACGCCACAAAGCGACACAGCCCCAATCTCTCTGCTCGTCTACTCACATCCTGCTTCTCCTTCGCCGCGCTGAAAACTTCCGCATGCACTACCAGGTGCTAACAAAGGCATAGCTTGTGCCTAAGCCGGAGCCGCCACAGCGGCTCTGTGTACATTCCCGGCCTCATCCGTTTTTCCTTGGTCAGATGTGGCAACGGACGTCAATAAGGCAGAACGCCTCCCTGCAAAAGTCCTCTTGAACACTCTTGTCCGTCAGAGCTGATAGCATGTAATTGGAGCATGGTGAGCCTTTGCATGCCAATTAACACCCACTGGCACCCTAAGCACCGAGCCTAGAGCTGCTCTCCCCCGCTCGGCAGCACCCGCTGTGGCAAACTTGGGAGGCTCCTTGCGAACGCTTCAAGTCCAAGAGTTCTCAGTGCCCGAGCGTGGCCAAGACTATCTAGCACGCTGTTTCTCAGCACGCACCTGCGAAGCAGCAGAAGCTGCCTGCGAGGCAAACATGTGACCCACTCCGCAACGCAGGGCTAAACTTGCACTCAGGCCCGAAACAAAGAATCGCCGACCGCATGGATAACAACCGCAGTCAGCTCCTAATTTGCGCAATAGGACACCTCCATCCACAAAAGGCTGCATAGAAGTCTTGCTTATGCCCCCCTCTCCCTCTCTCCCCCCGCGCCCACGGGCCTTCGCGGCAAATGCTTGCTGTAGCTGCTCCTTCTTGAGTCTCGCCCTAGCAAACATGTCAAGGGGATTCCCTGGAAACGCTGCAATCACACAGGCCCAGGGCACATCTCAAGCTTCTTGCGCAACTCTCCGGCTTTGTCGACCTGGCGATGTGTCCCTTGCCTTGAAGGAGTACAGCGGCGCCGGGTTCAGAAAAAACCGGGGTGGCAAACATCTTGTCCCAGCCAAGCTGCCAATTCTGGTCCATCTGGTGGTTGCTTGGATGCATCGTCTGACAGGAAAGAGGAAACAAATCACCAGTGAGCCTTGCTGAATGCAAACAGATGTGAGCGCTAACCGCTTGCTGCAGTTCTGGTGTCCGAGCCTTCCCGCTGTTTATTGAGTAGTTTTGCCTTCAGCGATTCCTTAGATGTCACAGCATGCTAGCGTCATGTCGAACCTGTTCAACGGGTGTTTGTAGAAGCACTGGCCCTCAGTTAAGCCTTTCTCAACTGAGATAGCTCGGAGCAGAGGCCTGTGCTTGCGATTTATGGCGCGCGCGCGCGCCCCCCGAAGCCCAAACTCCATTTCACCTTGTCAAATAGCTGCCCAGCAGTAGACTGGCAGTGTAGCATGAGGCTTGGCGTAGGGTGGATTTATGTCTTGAGTTGTACTTTTGGTGTTGTCAAGGTGGGCGCAGGGCTGGTTTGGAGTCGGCAAGAATTTGGTTGGGGTGGGTTTCGGCTTGTGCTGGGATGGGGTTGTTAGCCTGGCTTAGCCTTTCATTCTTCGCAGGGTAGGTTCAAGGCTCTTTGAATACAAGGCAGGGCTTGAAGCTTAGAACGAGGCTGCTTGCTTGATTTGGAGTTGGGTAAAGGGAACAAGGTTCGGCTTGGCACGGGTTGGCTTAGTCAAAACATGTCAAGCTCCTCCGGGTTGGGAGATCCTCTTTGAATTCAAAATTGAAATCTCAGTGATCCGATTCAAATAATCTTTGAAACTGGAAATTATACATTGCTTTCCTTATTGAAGTCTATTCAAAACCTAAACCAAACAAGTGCCAGCGACCGCACAAGCTGTAAGCCAGAACGCGCACACACACACACAAACGCTTCTCCGACAAAAACAATGTGCGCCCAACGAAAGTCTCGCCATAGGATTCAGCTGGGTTCAGCTGATGTGCCTAGCACTTACCTATAGTTGAAGCTGCTGCATCAACTAGTTTTTGTGCTGAGGTGAGGCAGGAACCGCCATGCTCGTGAGAGAGTCTCGGGATAAGCGGAACAAACTCCTTGAAATTGAGAGTTTTTGGTTGACGCAGTACATTTTGTCTACCGTCCTGCCATGTCCCACCCCGAAAAAACGGCAAGTCCTCCCAGTCAGATCAGCCAAATGCTCAGCGCAGACTTTTATTGCCTGCTCCAAGTTTGCATTTGTATGCATTTGTGGCAGCTCGTGGTCCCAATGCAAGCGCAAGCGTCCGTCTTGATGGCGCTGTCATCCGTATGCTTTCGCTCCTTTTGCGGGTGCAAGACTGAACGCTCATGCAAACCACGTCCTGAGCAGTCATTGCCCGTCCTCGCGCGAATCAGGCTTTCCCTTGCCTCTGCCTCAGATTGGATTGCTTCGGTTTTGCAATCACACAGGATCAACCTCCGATAGAAACCACATATATTCGCAACAAGCTGCCAGGACTTGGCTTGCCCTTGCCATAACCCTTGCCAGGCTTCCCCATGGGCATGTGGCCACTCAGGGAAAAGTGCGAGTGTCTGACGTGGATAGTGGCAGTACGTCCATTCTGTCTGTGGGTGGGACAGTCCTGAGACCAGTCCTAAACACACTGACCTCCGTTGCAGCACGCTCGGGCCAATGTGCGAATGATTTAGCGGACTGGCATGCAATGTTCCAAACGCTGCAAATCCCGTGCCTGATTCTGCCCTGGCTGCCAGGCAACAGCACAGCCACGCAACTGACTTGAAACACTTCTACGTTGTCAAAATTCATGGATGGGGTCTGCTATCAAGCCTCAGTTCATCCAAAGCTGCAGGGCAAACAGACATCACATGTGAGACCCTAAAACGTAAACCCAAAACTACCAGGACAACTTTCGGCTTGGCTGATGCTGTTGATTTATATTGATTTATTGTTTCCTACTTTCTTGTGCTCACAGCTCTGCACGTCGAGCATATCAACAACGAGACTATGAAACGGTGGGCTGACTTGCTAATTCTAATGGCAAAGTCTCAGAATTCAAGATCGCCTTGACATGTTGAATCCTGTAAGGCATGAGGTACCAATAGTAGGCCTACGTCCAACAGCCATGCTTCAAGAACGCTGACGCCCTCGATACTTCCAGTCGCACTGATGCGGAGCTTGCGGACCTATTTCCGCGTCCACACGGGCGATCACAGTGAAGGTCCTAGCCCGACGGAGCCACACGCCGAGAGATCCGCGGAACAGCTTGGCCGGGGGAAAAAAGAACCAAGAACACGATCAAGAACCATACGCTGGTACGCAGTCTTGGAAAGAGACAAAGGACGCCCTGAGACCTTCGCTTTGGCCAGCTCCCCACCTTCGCATGCGACGCCCCGCAGATCCGCAGATGTCCAGCTCGCGTGGCCTCCGCGTAGGCATGTGCTCAACACACAGACAGGTCACAGAAAAAGCCACGAAACAAGGCGGCGACCAACAAACGCGCTCAACCGCAGGGTGATTCGATCTGTGTAAATACCAGGACGGTCCAGGAAGTGGTTGGGAAACACTTGATTGCTACAACAGCAAATCTCGGGTGTCAACATTGAAAGGCAAGCAATGGCCAAGAAGGGGCCTTCCAGCGCATAGGCCCCATGCAATACATAGAGCACAGCTCATTTCACGGGCCATGTGCTCGCACCGGGGAGGTCGAACAGCACATGTGCACAAGTCCGTCGAATGCAACACGATCACAATGGGTCTAGCGGCTAGCGCGGGTTTTCGCTTCTAGAATCTTCTGGACCTTGATGTTTCAAAACCCTCTTTCCTTGGTCCATTTCAACTTCAGGCCCTTTGCTAGCGCCATTAGAGACGCAAACGTGTTCCTTTTTGCTCGGTTGCTGGTGCTCGTGGAGGTGGCTTTCCGGCGTTGCAATGACTAGCGCCGAGCTTAGCGGGGACTGTCGCAGAATTCGTTGTAGTCTGACATGTCCAGCGTTTCTCGAAGACGCGTGCGCAATGCAACCGCGCGATGGAGGCGCACACGCGCACGAGCATTGAAAAGGAAGCCGCTCAAAGCCCCAAAGCCCTAAAGCAGGCCGCACAAACCATGCAGGCAAGAAAGGGCACGAAGAAGCAGGCGCGCAAACAAACAAGCAAGCAAGCGTCACAGGCCACCCTTCCTTTCCAGCCAACGTCCTTGTCAAAAATTGGTAAGTCAATGCAATAAGGTGGTTGTAACTAAACACTGTACTTCCAAGCCAAGGAGAACACCGGCCCGAATTCAGAGCCCAAGGCACAGGCTATCCCGAAGGTGCGCAAATTTAGAGTGCTGTCAACATGTAAATCATTCGCCGTCTGAGAGCAAAACTGCCCGAAGCTCAATACGGGTGAGGGAAAATCCCTGGATCATGGGACAGCCAACAGTCGGCAGTTTAAGAGCAGAGCTGGCAGCAGGCCTGATCGCTCAGCTGGAAAGTGCCGAGCGTAGACAGCCGAGCGATTTTTATAGCAGGGGGCCCATGGGCCTGTTTCCTGGCGTGGGCCAACGAAGCTCCAGGATTCCGGCTAGGAAATCAGCACTGGACGCAGCGCTGACGTACCTGCAGTCGAGTATTACCAACAATGTTGCCCTTGAGGAAATCTCATCGAACTCCCATTGGATTGGCGGTTGTTTTGGACCACTGGTTCCTGTTTGGCTCTGTTTTCCGGAACTCTTGTTCCTTTTTTCGGTGTCGATGTTTTGGGAGCTGTTGCTTTGGTTCGGTGTCGATGCGTGGGATCATGTGCTGTGCATGCTGATATTAGCACTCTCCATGTGCAAGTGTTTCATGCTGACGACACAAGTGTGTGATTCCCACGGCCTGTCCGTCAAGGCGCCGATGGGAGAGGGGGCCAGATGCCCCCAAACTTTCAGCCTTCATGTTCAACGTTCAGTTCAGCTGCGTTGCAGTTGCGTTGCAGAATTGCAAGCGTGCACGCATTGCACATGGCATCTAGCACATGGCAATTGCGCATGGCATATAGCGCATAGCATCCAGCGCATGGCATCTAGCGCAATTTTGCACACAGCATTTTGCACCTGCTTGCTTTGCAGTGGTACGTATAGGAACAAGCCTTGTGTGGCACTTGCTGCGCGTGAACATTCTCTTTTTCTTGATCCGAGCTGGCTTGGCCAGATAGCCGTTCAATGCAGTTCATTGCCGGTGGTTCACTGATGTGCAAGCGCATGAAGCATTAGCACATGATCATAACTTCCTGTACGGTCTCTCAGGTTGTCTTGCTTCTTGATCGGATTGCTGTGTTCCAAAGGCGCTCAAAAAGAGCGCTCGGGCTTTTTCTGGCGTGAAAATCCAGATTGGTGCTTGGAATTGCGCAGTTGGAGAGCATGCTACGGCAGAAACCCACTCGAAGCGCAGTTAGTTCAATGTCAAATGCTGTGTATAGCTTTTGTTTTGTTTGAGCCATGCACCCGCATTACCAGCCAATGGGGTACCAGTCGATGAGCGGAACCGCGATGACCTCGGGAGGATCGCTGCAAATCCCAGGCTACGCGTGGCAGCAAGGGCCAGCAAACCAACCCCTCTGTGGGATTCAACACAGTTTGGAGTCCCGTTGTCGCACCATTCTATGTCTCACTCGCTCGCGGTTTCATCAACTGTGTCACTTGCACAGATGCAACCGGTGCAGCCTGCTATCACTGCGATGGCAGCTCCGATGGGATGCAATCCATTTCCCATGCCTGTTTCCGGCTCTATGTACAGCTGCGCCCCGACCTCGCAGACCTCGGCAGCCTCTGGATCCGTGCTGATGCAGCCTGCGGCAAGCCAGACGCCAGTGGCCACGGAACAGCAGCCAGGCTCCCAACAATCCGCCGCAGGCGGGAAAAAAGCTTGTCCCAATCTCACCACAGAAAAAGGCGCCGTACTTCCAAGGGCAGAGCTAGGCGTCGCAGTAGCAGCCCGAAACGGCATGCCACGCGGCGCCGCCACTCTAGCCCGAGACGGGGTCGACGCAACCACTAGTCCGAGACGGGGTCGACGCAACCAGACCAGACGGGGGCGGAGCCGCTCCAGAACCCCTCCTGAAAAGACACAAGCAGGCTCAACCATGACCGAAGGCTTGGCAAAGCGCAGGATCAGCCTGTCATTGGGCAGGGTGGCAGCCAACAAGTCACGCGCCAGCAGAATTGGTCACATTGGCCAGATCAACAGACACGATGGCCAGATCAGCGGTCTTGGCTGGCTTCCAACCCCAATCAACAATCGCAGTGGCGTGATCAACGGAAGCCGCTAAACAAGCCCAAGGTGCAATTGGCAAAGCAGCAGCCAAAACCTCCAATTGGATCGGGCTTGCCGGGCCCCAGAACAACTGGGAACAAAGGCGCCAAAGAACAGGACACAGCTGCAGCAAGTCAAGCAAAGTACCCAGAATGGCAGCCAGTGATTCAGCGAGCAATGTCAGACCCAAACCGGGGCTTTCTGAACCACAGGCGGCTCTGGCAGTTGACCAGGAAGCGCAAGATGAATGGGCCAAGGCGCTTCAAGCCAAAGATAAGGAACTCATCGAGCAACATGCTTTTGACTTAGCCCGGTGCATTCTGGCTTTTGATCCGGAACTTCGACCCACTCCCGGGCTGATAGTGCATCATGCGCAAGAAGATGAGACACGGGCCTTTGTCGGCGTGATTGGCCAGAGCCAGAAAAGAAGGTGGCTGGTTGGACAGATGGCCTAGAAGAAAATTCGGGGCCTACTACCACCACCATTACCTGGTGCCATGGCACCACTGTCAAGGCGGGCGTCCTTGCGCTTCAAGAGAAACTGCTGCGCCCGCAGACATGGCTGCCTGGGGATTTTCCCAGCTATGGCTTCTATGCAGTGGCTGTCGTCAAGTCATGGGATGTGACTGTGCTGTCACAGTGGTGGCCAAGAAATGTTCTCTCATTGGAAAAGGCCATCAAGGTTGCCTTTTGGTGGGTGATTTCCAAACCGTTCGTGGACATACCAAGCTTGAAGCCGGATCCACTTGGGATGACCAACTTGCAGTCGCCAAGACCTTTTGCTGCCGAAGAGACAGCAAATGGGTCTTCCACTCTAAGTACGCACGTCTCCGCGGAGTTTTTGTGTCTCACCCTCACTAAGCATGTTTTCTTTTACCGTGACGCAAGCTGCGAAGTACAAAAAAGTCTCGTTCACCTGGAATTCCACCTGGAATTCCACCTGCGGCACGCTTGCTTTTCTTGGCAAACTTGCTTTTCTTGGCAAACTTGCCAATGATAATCACCTGCATTCAGGGCTCAATTGGTCCAAACTGAAGCCATGAACCACCCTGGCATGAATATGGACCAATGGCGGCGGATAGCTTCCCAGGCGGATTCGCGGGCCCTGCTGGCTGGAGGCCAGCATGGAGGCGCAAACGCGCCTCTTCCGCCACCTCCCCCTGCCTAAGCATCATCAGCGCCACCGCCAGGCCAATGCGGAATGCCTTCACTATACCCAATGATGTGCGGGCCTTCTTCTCTCACATGCCGGCCCATGATGGCCCCCCAGAGTGCTCCTAGAATAAGTCACCCT